TACTCATGGTGTACTCATGGTGGCATAGTGGCAGGCTGAGGAGATGAACAGATGATGCCAACACAAAAATAAATTAGACGAATTCCCAGTCTTTATTTCCACACATATAAAATCATCTGAATAGATATTTATCCAATCAAATTAAAATCAAATACATTTTTATGATTCAGTCATATTGAAATATGATAAATTTCAATGTACATTGTCTTTTAAAAAGTAGTGATGTAGGCAGTTAGGCAAAGGTAAAGCGACGTGATGTTGATAGAGCAGCAGCTAGGTAAGGGAAGAATGACACAATTAACTCAGTTATATTTATACTAAGTCTGAGGTAATTGTAGAGATAAGCTATGATTGGTTAATTTGAGGCTGTTACATAACATAGAAGATTTTCAAATTAGGAGAACAGATGAATTTAGGGGGAGTGCACCAAATCTAGAATATTAATTTTGAGGTCGCCAATTATTTTTAAAGCAGTTATCATATTTTCGTATATCTTACGTATATATAATTAAATACCAAAGTTTTGGTGGCTGTCTAACAAGCAGAAAGAACATAAAAAATTGGGACAAAAACAAAACTGTTAAAAAATAGCATAATAAAAATAATGTAATAAAACAAGTAGTTGAAAATTCTTTGGTCATTTTCAAGGAACAGCTGAAAATTTTTCAACAGAGCCCCATTTCTGAATTATATCTAAATGATTAAAAATCAAGTGTAAGTTAGAAATTAATTAAATTAATGAAAATGATGCAAGACCATTAAAAATTTTTAAATGCAAATACTTAATTTAATAAGATAAAGGTGTCCAATTTTTTTTAAAAAAAATTATTAGTCTTTTTAATAAATCACAGGATATAATCTTGTCTGATATGCCCCCCTCCCCCCAAAAAATATAGCATGGAATTTAAACAGTATAAAATGAGTTTGTAAATTAGAAACCAGATAAACAATTCATCAAATTAGAAGTAATAAGGTAAATTTATGTTTTTCAAATTTGCTAAAAACTATTACAAATTTAAAGTGTTTTTAGCAGTTTAACAGACAAAAATTTTTTTAACCAAAGGATTTTCAACTATTTTTTTATTATACTATTTTTACTATGTTATTTTTTTAATTGTATTATTTTTGTTCCAATTTGAATATTTTTATCCTGTTACCCTGTTAATTACCAGAATTTTGATTTAATTATTATATCTTGATTATGAATTAATTTCACAGTATACTGTACGACTTTAATAATTTACAATCTTAATTTTCAAATTTTTAATTTCTTATTATATATATTATATAATATATATATTAGATTCAGAGAATCTAATGTAAAAATGTACAAATAATTCTTGTCACTACATTTTCTTTTCTCCAAAAGATTTTGGCACAATACGTTAGTATTATTGTTTTAATAGTTTTAAATTACTTTGATGGCCAATTCTACATTTATTAACAAATCGGATAATAATTTACAATCAATTAATTAATTTACAATTACACGTTTTTCATTGTAGCTTGATCGCCCTCTAGCTTGAAGAATTACGACTTTTATTAACAAATGACTTTTTTCCATTTTACTCTTACTTTTGTGGCCATGTTGAGTAATCTTTGCTGAATTAGCCATTTTCACATTTTTCAAACAGTTTTATTCTTCTAACAACTTGACTGACGCCATTTTGACTTCTTTCCGTGTCTTTTCGAGTCTTTCAACCCCTCTTTAACTCGGGGGGGGGGGGGAGACGAGTTCCCGCCAAAGGACAATCTAATCGCATTGGCTGATATGCGGTGACATTGTTTCACTCGCCTACATCACACGAGGAAAGGGATGGCTTTGAAAGACACAGAGGGGATTACAACCCCTTTTCAAATTTGCTTCGTGATCAAGAGGACAGCTTAGCCACAGGTCTGTTTTTTATGTTTTTTTTCTTGTGTTTTTTAGAATATTTTTCTTGGTCTTAGCAAGACCCACGGCCTTTGTTTTCATTAAAATTTAATTTCAAAACTATAATATTCATAAAGGTTTTATTCTTTAAGCTTGCAGGTCCAGCCCGTATGTTATTGTATAGTTTGACTAATAGCAGACCGCTATTTATTTTATTTTTATTTTAATTTTAGCTTTACTCAGAGTTGCTTATATATATATATATTATATATTTTTTTTACACCTTAACTGTGTCATTTTTTGCGGACGCGTCGGGAAATTGGAACAGAGAATTGAAGCTCCAAAGGATTTTTTGGGACAATTCATATTATTTAAAAAATTTTTCGTTCACGCAAAGAGCTTCAATTGTCTGTTTCGGTGAAACGTGTAATGGAGTTAGCTTGGTTCGACTTTCCAACTGAAATTTCCCTTGAAAAGCCAGGTTGGAGGTCTAATTAGGCTAATTTACCATTTTCCGCTTTGTAATTTTTATAATTTTTGTAATTTTATGTTTTTTATATGTTTTAACTTGTTCCGTCGATCAGTTTTTTATATGTGTTAACTTTTCACTTATCACATCGATAGGTTTTTACTGTATTTTTTATATTCTGCATTTTATTTTGCATGTAGGCTACTTTTTCACCCTTCAATGTTATTATTTTAAAAAATACTGTGTTGAACTATTTCTTGGAGCTACAGCTCCTGGTAACTTTTTGGCGAGCTCACTACAATATTTCTTCCTATTATTTCATAATTTTTGCAGCATATTGCGCAAAAAATTATTAAGACCAAATAGGTCTTACAGCACAATACTTATTAGCTTTTCAATTTCAATTATAGATATATATATACATATAAAGACATAAAGTAAGAAATTTGTAGCTAATGTTTCACAAAGACCTCCCCCCCCCAAAAAAAAAGAATTGATTTGTAATTATATATATATATGGAGAGAGAGGAATTATTTTATTATGTAAATTATTACAAATTTGAATGTATTAACTATATATCTTTGATACTGTATATTTTTCAAAGGTACTCTCTGAACATATTTTCATCGCAAATTTTTTAACCACAAAAGAGCCATTCTTTTTGCAATGTCCTGCACTTTTTTCAATTAAAATAATAGCTGAGAATGCTTACATTTGGCCATGAAAACTAGGAACAATAAATTTTACAAATTAAGAGGAAATGCTGTAAATAAAAAGAGAAAAAATGTAAGAGGATCAGTTTAGAGAAATTTTTCAAATAATTGTTTGTGTCTGGAAATTTTGTAGTACTTAAGTGCTAAGTGGTACTTGATAATAGATCACCAGCAATTTTACCAGCAATTCTGCTATCCTGCTAGCATTGCAGATCCTAGAAGCTCTTAACTATTCTACTCTACTGTAAAATTGGCAACTCAGGAAGCTTTAATGCATGAAATTGTTGGCAAAGCATTGTTAGATGCTTTTTGGTCTACTAGTACAATCCATTTGCAATTATATTTGCATTAAAAGGATATTCTTGCAAGTTTTTTGCCCCAGAGAAGCTTTACTAAATATGCATCTAAATGGCATTTAGCAGTATCATATTGTTCCACTTCTTGTAGAGCACCATAAGGATTTGTATTCTCAAAGCAGAACTAATAAAAGCGTATTTGTGATTGTTTAATAAATGTATTTGTGATTGTTTGATGAATGTATTTGTGATTGTTTGATAAACGTATTCGACTTTTTTCTAACTGTTGCATTGAATGCTTTCTCCAGTAATTCATAAATATTATTGAATTCCTTGCCTTTTGTCTGTTATCAATTGTTTGCTGTAAAGTTTTGTATTCTTTTTTGTTAAATTAAATTTTATTTTTTTATTAAGAAGCACTCATTTGTTTCCTGACAAACAGTATCTGTAATTTGTTATTTTGAATAGCCTGTCACTCTCCTAACACGGTTCCTTTAAGTAGTAAATAAACTTTCTTTGACATGTAGTTTTAAGTGTTGAATAATCTCAAGTGAAAATGGTGAACCCACAGAAAAAAGTGTGGAGAACAGAAGTATGCAAATTGTATCAGAGCTTTATTCCTTTATTTCAAATTTTATTATTCCTCAGAAATTATTCCTCCTATTTATTATTCATCAGAAAATGTAACTAGAGATAATCAAAAAGTAACCTTTTGAGTACTAATTTATGCTTTATTATTCCTTCATAACATAGAAAAATTGCTTTTCTCTATAAAGCATTAATATAAGCAATTAATTGAAATGTATAATACCTTAAACCTGATATAGTGTTTTATGTAAAGAAATTCCTTTTGAACTATTATATTTTTTTCATTTTCAAAAATGGATACCACTTTATTACCCATTTATATGTTCAGCAAATAAATATGTAGAAATAAATCAAATTTATGTTGATAGTAATTAAAAATTCCTCAGAATTATTCCTCCTATTTATTATTCCGCAGAAAATGTAACTAGAGATAATCAAAAAGTAACCTTTTGAGTACTAATTTATGCTTTTTATTACTTCATAACTAGAAAAATTGCTTTTCTCTATAAAGCATTAATATAAGCAATTAATTGAAATGTATAATACCTTAAACCTGATATAGTGTTTTATGTAAAGAAATTCCTTTTGAACTATTATATTTTTTTCATTTTCAAAAATGGATACCACTTTATTACCCATTTATATGTTCAGCAAATAAATATGTAGAAATAAATCAAATTTATGTTGATAAGTAATTAAAAATTCCTCAGAAATTATTCCTCCTATTTATTATTCCTCAGAAAATGTAACTAGAGATAATCAAAAAGTAACCTTTTGAGTACTAATTTATGCTTTATTATTACTTCATAACATAGAAAAATTGCTTTTCTCTATAAAGCATTAATATAAGCAATTAATTGAAATGTATAATACCTTAAACCTGATATAGTGTTTTATGTAAAGAAATTCCTTTTGAACTATTATATTTTTTTCATTTTCAAAAATGGATACCACTTTATTACCCATTTATATGTTCAGCAAATAAATATGTAGAAATAAATCAAATTTATGTTGATAAGTAATTAAAAAATTATTTTATGCTTATTCCTTTTTATTTCAGAGGATGAAGATTTTTCAATACTTCTATCAGCACTGGAAGGTAATTATAAAAAATGACTATTTTTACACTTTATTTTTGTATTTCAAATTGTGAACTATTCCTACTTATTCCATTAATATCCTGAAGTTCAAACTAAAAGGCATCCATTACAGAAAAAAGAATTATTTTATTATATCCCATGAAAAAATAAAAATGGATGCAATGTTAATACCTTAAAAATTTTGTATGTTTTTAGATTATGAAGAAGCATCTAAGCAAATGAAAGATTTGCCTGACTTACTTGTTGCCATAACTGGTAAGTATAATTCAATTATGAATTCTTTTTGATAAAAGATTTTTATAATTATTGTCAGATATGCTAAGATATGAATTACTGTTATTTTATAATTTTTTTCCCAAGGAAAAGGGCCTTTGAAAAGTTATTATGAAAGACTGATTGAAGATAAAGGTTTTTCTCATGTAGAAGTTATGACTTTGTGGCTACAATCAGAGGACTATCCTACATTTTTAGGTTTGTGCTGTACTGTATTACATTTAAAGCTTAGTAAATTATTATCAGACACTGTGATCATTACCATGAAGGTTATTTTTGCCTGCCTTGAGTTTCTGAATATAAATTATCCCTCAGGGGGCTCACTTTTGTGAGTACGGGTGTGGCAATCCCGAAGTACCCTAGCCCTTCAGGGGATCATCTTCTTGGTGAGACGGGTGTCACGATCCTGGAGCCCCAGTGATCTATCCTCTTTTCCGTCTCCTCTCCTCTTCGCTGTAACTTTTTCCCTTCCCTTCTCCCTTGTGGTTTTCTCTCTACGGAGTTTGGGGCTCGTCACGAGAGACTGGAGCAGTCCTTGCATCTAGTTTTCGAGTGGCGAGAAAACTGCCCACGTGTTTGCCGTGCGTGGAGACCCGTGTCGCTGGAAAGGAGGGTCCTGGTAGTTGAGGGGCGAGGTACTGTCCCCAACACACTGCTTTGGCCTCTGCTTCAGCTAAACGGGAGGCACCTTAGTCGTCCTCACGGGTGTCAATCGGCTGGTCACTAGTCCTTGTGTCAGTGGCTTGGGGTCAAGCTCTCAGGAAAGCCGACTGTGGGGCTTCAGTTTGCGTATAGGTCCGGCTAGCCCTAACACAGGAATCTGTGTTCCCTTGTTGGGCTCCGTGGTGGGCGGGGCCGTCGGACCCGAATCTTATCTCTTTCAAACATGGCTTCACTTTTCATATTAAAAAAAAACTGATACAAACGAAAATAAACAAGAAATAGAAATTATTGACAAATCCATTAACAAAAGATCAGTACCGATGCAAATGCAAATGCAAAGGAAACTGCTGAAAATCCGTGCTTCCTAGTTTCTCTAGCCCTTCTGGTGAACTGCAAAAGATGTCTCCTTTTCTAGTAAGCAAATACATTAACTCATGCATAGGTGAGCCAAAGAACATTAAGCGTCTCCGTTCTGGAGACCTGCTTATAGATACCGTTTCGGCCACCCAGTCTGCTTCACTTTTGCAGTCAAACCAACTTGGACAAGTACCTATAACTGTGTCAGCACACAAAACACTCTTAAAGGCATGATTCTGATATAAAGGTGTGATCTCGGAAATCGACCTTATGCTTGTTTCAGAAGAAGAGTTGGTTTCCTGAGTTAGCTGACCAAAAGGTTTGTGCTTGCTAAGCGGATCAAGATGCGTAAGGAAAGGTCAGTTGTTCGACACAAAACACGTGATCCTGACCTTCAAAAAGCCAAATCGCCTGATCTGCCAAAGAATATAAAGGCTGGGTATCTAAACTGCCCCGTAAGACCGTATATTCCCAACCCAATGCGATGCTTCCAATGCCAGCGGTTTGGTCACTCTAAAACATCCTGTCGTGGCTGCCTGACGTGTGCTCGATGCTCGTTGGTTGGTCACGATAGTGAAAATTGCACTGCTGCGGCATTGTGTGTAAATTGCAAAGGCGATCATCTGGCATTTTCTCGTTCTTGTCCAAAATGGAAAACAGAAAAGGAAGTACAGACGACAAAAGTCACTAGAAACATCTCCTACGCAGAAGCCAGAAGGCTGGTTCAAAGCACACAGCTTCAACCAAATAGATCATATGCTAGTGCCGTTAAAGCAACACGGACCGTTGCAACTCAAACATTGATAAATGCACAGACTCCTCCAAATAAAACCCAGAAGCATGAGAGCCAGAAAAAGGAAACTCCGATTTATGTAGTACAAAAACAAGAAATAGCAATCCAGAGCAAATCCAAAAATGAGCCTTCAAAAATAGAAACAAAAAACAGAAGCAATAGTAATAGTTCATTTGAGGATATGGTATCTGAATCTTTAGATTCAGATAGTATGGAAGTAGAAGAGGGGCTAGATCTTCCCGAGCATCTACTTCCACGAAAAAAACAAAAAAGCAGCACAGAAAAAACAAACATAACTTATAATGGCCTACCCTGATCTCTTGGAACTGTCGCGGATTCCACCAAAATTTTCTTGACATCAAAGTATAGTCAATGTTCATCACCCTGTGTGCTTGGCAAGTACAGGAAACAATCTGAAACCAGAATCAACAGCAAAACTTCGGAGGTTTTCTTTCGTCAGGAAAGATAACCTTGCAGGTGAGCGTGCCAGTGGAGGTGTAGGTCTCCTCACCTCACTGGATTATCCCTCAAATGTGCTTTCTTTGACGACATCCCTCCAAGTTGTCGCTATTCAAACAAATTTTGATATTGTTGTTACAGTGTTTCGTTTCTGTATTTGCCTCCAAATGAGCATATTGATCAGCAAGATTTAAATGTTCTTTTAGAGCAGCTGCCTGAGCCTTTCATCATAATAGGAGATTTTTAACAGCCATAGTCCACTCTGGGGTAGTAAAGATACAAATTGCCGAGGAAGACAAATTGAGGCAGATGATCGAAGATCATAGCCTTTGTCTCCTAAATAATGGGCAGGATACGTACTTCCATGAGCCTTCAAGGACATTCCACGCTCTCGACCTTGCCATCTGTTCACCATCTCTGTTGCCATTTTGCACTTTTAGTGTCGGAAATGACCTGTACAACAGCGATCATTATCCCATTTTTGTATCTCTTGCACGAAGAGGAGCAAACCCCATGTCGAGACTCCCTCGGTTTATACTGGACAGGGCAGACTGGGAACTCTTCTCTTCCTCCGCAGAGCTCACAGAGGAAATGGTAGAAGATGTGCATATCGATGACGCTGTTGAAGCTGTTACTAATACTATTATTCAGGCAGCTATGCTGTCCATTCCTAGAACATCAGGAAAAATGCTTAAATATACGAAACCGTGGTGGAATCGCGACTGTCATGAAGCACTGAAAAAACAGAAAAAAGCATGGGGTATTTTTCGTAGATATCCTACCCTGCGAAACCTCATAGCCTTTAACAGAGCCAAAGCAAATGCACGAAAAGTAAGAAGGCAGAGCCAGAGGGATTCCTGGATTTCATATGTGTCGTCAATAACATCCTCCACGCCTAGTAATCGGGTTTGGGAAAGAGTTCGAAAAGCATGCGGCATATATAAAGACCACTCACTTTCCTTTTTGGAAAAAGATGGCCGAGTGATTAGCTCCATAGAAGAAATTGCGAATACTATTGGTGAGGCATTTGCTGCCGTTTCTTCCAGCAGAAACTATTCACCTGCATTTCTCTCTATGAAGCAGCACTCTGAAATAAATCCCATCGCATTCAACTCTTCCAAATCTGAGCCTTACAATAGAGATTTTACTATGCTTGAATTAAGGAGTGCTTTATTGCAGACACATAGGTATTCTCCGGGTCTTGATGGCGTGAATTACGAAATGCTAAAGCATCTGTCCTATAAGTCACTAAATGCCCTTCTCACTCTTTACAATAGAGTGTGGAAGGAGCGTACCTTTCCCAGTGCATGGAGGAGAGCTGTTGTCATTCCTATTGCTAAGCCAGGGAAAGATCCAAGGAATCCCTCCAACTATCGGCCAATTGCCCTTACGAGTTGCCTATGCAAACTGTTTGAAAAGATGGTAAACAGCCGCCTAGTCTACTTCTTGGAAAAGAATAATATTATATCGCCTTATCAAAGCGGTTTTCGAAAGGGAAGAACGACCGTAGACAATATGCTTCTATTAGAGACATCTATTCGAAAAGCTTTTGTCAAAAGAAGTCACTTTGTCTCAATATTCTTTGACATTGAGAAAGCTTATGATAAGGCATGGAGATACGGTATACTTTGCGATCTCCACGAGAGTGGCTTGCGCGGTAACCTACCAATTTTTATTCAGAATTTCTTGTACAATAGAACTTTTCAAGTAAGAATTGGCTCTGCTTTATCGAATGTTTTTGAACAGGAAGAGGGTGTGCCTCAAGGCTGTGTGCTTAGTGTAACGCTGTTCAGCCTAAAAATAAACTCTGTATTAAAAGAACTTCCTCACACCATCTTGGGATCTCTATATGTAGATGATTTATAGATTAGCTGTCGAGGGGCAGACATGAGATACATAGAGAGGCAATTGCAGATGGCTCTGAATAAGATCCAGGAATGGTCAACCAAACAGGGATTTACTTTTTCCAAACAGAAAACTGTGTGCGTGCACTTTTGTAGGAAGCGTGGTCTCCATCCTGAACCTGAGTTATATCTGAATGGTACAATTATTCCAGTTGCGCCTGAAGTAAAATTTTTAGGAGTGACGTTCGACCGAAAATTGACTTTCCTTTCTCATATTTTAAACCTGAGAAAGAAGTGTCTAAAAACACTAAATATTTTAAAAGTGTTGGCGAACACCTCCTGGGGTGCAGAGCGTTGTTCCATGCTTCGCATTTATAGAGCGCTTATCCACTCTAGACTGGATTATGGCTCAGTTGTTTATGGATCCGCTCGCCCATCTGTTTTGTTAAAACTGGATCCTGTTCACCATCACGCTCTGCGGATTTGTTCAGGAGCTTTCAGGACTTCTCCTGTCCAGAGCCTATATGTTGACTCTAACGAACCATCACTTTATCTGAGGCGTGAGCAATTGTCCCTTTTGCAATATTTTAATATTCTATCTCAACCTGAACATCCTAATAAGCTGTGCTTACTTGATAATGAGTGTAATACATTATTTGAAACACGTCCATCCTGTATTCCTACCTTTCCTTTAAGAGTTTGCCCTATCATTGAGGAACATTCCCTCTCTGATATGTGCCCCCAAGCAGTACAGAACTTTGAAATCCCACCTTGGGAAAATTCACGGATTCAGCTTCTTGATGTTTTCAAACATCACGTGAAGGCAAGCACTAACGAGATCGTATTTACAGACAACTCTTTCGCTGAGCACTGGCATAAATTATAGCAGTTATCTTTCCAGTATCTATACAGATGGATCCAAGTCAAATGATCATGTTGGGATGGCATTTGTAATTGAAGATCACATGGAGGGCAGACGCTTGCACCATGCTTTCTCTGTCTTAACATCTGAACTAACTGCGATATATTATAGTCTCATTTTGTACATCTCAAAGGCTCTGCCACAAAAAGTTTATAATTTA